AAGAAAGTATAATGGAAAACTACAACTTCTACTATGGTTTTTATAGACCTACTGGTTATCTGATAGAAGTCTGCTAAACCAGGGTGGGAAGGTAATAGAAAGAGAAAGTGTTTTGTGAGACTATAGGCTAAAGTTAAGTATGGGAGCACGTTACAGCTCAGTGGGGGAAATGCTTTGATTTCTAAGATAGGGAAAACTTCCATTTTTAATTAAATAGATAATGGATATTTGACAGTAACAGCTTAGAGAGTCAGTCTGATGATTCAGGAGTTATAGCTGTCTAATTCTGAGTCATTAAGCCTAAGAATGTACAAATGTGCTCTAGCAAGGGACTTTTCCTGGTACTTTTTATTCTAATAAGACAAAGTTTTGAAAAGGATCAGGTATCTAAAGCCCCCTATTTGCTATTTTCATTGTGGTAACAGTAAGTCAGGGTCTGAGGCCTGGTTGTACTCGGGCCTACCCATACAGACACAGTGAAAAGAGCATCCCTGCCCCAAATGGTTTACAAGCTAAATACATGATGAACTGTGGATTAAACAAGTTGAGGGTTGCATATGGCAGCAGTGGGGCCCTTATGGTTAGTGTAATAAGGGACTAGGCCTACATAGTCTAGCCACTCTGTTCCCTTGGTTATACCAGCTGTAACAGCTCCAAGATTTTTCATGAGTAGGAGCACTACTATGCTGAGAGAGTAAATTTTCCTATGGAGATGATCTCTCAGCCATGGTGACAGCATGCCACCTTCCAGAGTAATTAGCAAAGAAGGCCATACACTCAAAGGAGGATGAGAATAAGGAAGGGGAAGGAAATTATGTGAGGCTCTTAAGAGATGATTGATCAAAAGCAAAGCCTGGGTGAAGTATTAAGATTTCCTTTGGTGAAGGGGCCAAAATCTAAAAGGTAAATCACAGTATCTGATAAATGTTTAAAATACAACAAGATGAGGATTACAAAGAATAGGATTATTCAATTCAGGAGAATAAATATTCACATGCTGGGTAAATCATCTGCTTTATACCAGACTATATCCATCAGTTATAAAATAACTGGTAGGAAATAACTGTAATTTACCATTAGAAGCTAAAGCCCAAGAAGGTGGTAAATTTAAATCTAGTTGTTTCTGTGGCAAGTATCTTAGCAAGCATCTTGAAGAGTACATGCATATAAATTGGGGCTGCCACCAGTCAAGCAGATTATCAGCATCTTCCCTTCTATTTTCTCAGTTGTATTCCCAGGAAGGGATGACACAGACATTTCTGTTGGTTTTTTGCTTTGCTGGAAGTGGATACAAAAGTCTAATGAGGAAAATCTGTAAAAGCCAAGCTGTCAGGCAGAGATATACATGTGCTGGTGAAAGGATATACCTGCAAGAATAAAGTTTGGAAATGGTCAGAGCCTTCTAGGCAGCTGTTTAAAAGAAGATTGGATATCAGGAACAGTATGAAAACTGGGAGATTGGGAGTTTATTTTTTGAGGATTAGTTATGGAACAAAAAGGAAGGGTCTGTAAAATAAGTTCTGAAAAAGAAACAATTTTTCTAGTGTAATCAAAATTTCTGGGAAAGATGAAGTATCATTCAACAGAGACAGTCAGGAAGAAAACAAACTTTGCTCCTGGAACAAAGACATATTTCTTCTAGTATCAGGAACAAACAGAGATCTGAGGCAAATCAAGGAATAAGAACTGGTCAACACAAGGAAGTTGTTAATTAGTTTAAAACTCAATTTAAATAAATTGTACAGTCCCCTTATATGGCTGCTCATTAGCTTCTAAGTCAATTTAATTAAATCAGTACAGCTTTCCCATGTAGTCAAGACCTAAGTAACTCATACAGGTACTCACAGTTCAGCAAGGTTCTTTGGGAGATAATTTACAACATAGTCTAGCTCAGTGATTCTCAACCAGGGTGTCATAGCACCCTGGGGTGCTATAAGATTTTCACTACAGTGCCACACCTGCACAATTTGCAAGATAAAGCCAGAGATTTAAAATAGAAATTCATAATGTCAAAACCATCATGACCTGTTTTGGCATTTCTAAGCTATTTGCAACAGAAGAATTGTTTTTTTGTAGTCAAGAAACAAGTAAAAGCTTAGGGGCTGTCATTTGACTTGAACCTAATGAGGGATGTCTTGAGTCTAAAAAAGTTGAGAACCACTGGTCTACTTTATTTAAATGTGCATGTTATTCTAGAATGGCTTGATGGGAGGGTTGTTAGCAGGAGCCCAAATGTAGCTGGAGAGCTGTCTGTGAGGTTGCCTTTAATTTTCATGGTATGTTGTATTCTCCACCTTGCCATACATTGCAGAATTTGGCTGGGGACCAGTGGAAGTAGCCATAGGGGAGGAGAAAAGAGAAGAGATTTGTCCAGAGGCTGAGATGGGTGAAGACTTGAGTCTTGGGGGGCTAGACTTGGGGGACTAGAGGAGGAAGCGGATGCTATGGTACTGTGCCAGATCTGTCAGGCAAAACACAAGAGGGTCATGTATATGGAGATATAGAGGGAAGTGAATCTGTGATGACTGCGATATGATGGGCTATATGCACAGTTGCTACCAGGTACTTTCTGGACACTTCAGGTGAACTAAGCAGGAACATGGGGAGATGCCTCCATCATGTCCTGCCTCTGTCTTGGAAACAGGATGAAGAGAGTGGATGGATGTGCCCTGGTCCAAGAGATGGTCAGGGATTTCTCCATGAAGTGGTGGTCCCTGATGGTGTTACCTTTGCTAGTTTGGGAACAGGGCTGGGGGCTACTCACTGGCTGTGAGCACTGCTTGGGGTGTGCACGGTACATATGGCATCTGGTGGTCCCCAGGAGCAGAGGAACTATAGGGTAGGCTCCTCTGTACCTTTGTTGCTTTTTAGGGGGGGTCATTATTCCCTTCAGCTATGGGCACCCCTTCCATGGCTGCCTTTTGGGAGGAAGAACCCTATGACACTCCCAGGTGTGGACTTGTACGGTGGGGAGATGGCAGAATCTGAGCAGCCAGCGAGGCTCTCTGGGTGCAGGTAAGACTGGCCTGTGGTGTGGGCATCCTTCCCTAGAGGCACAGATGGGCTATCTGGCCTGCAGCTCAGGCAAAACAGCTGCCCAAGGATCCCTCCTTGAGGTTAGAGACCTGCCCTGGGAAGTCAGAGATATAGGTTCAAACCCCATTTAGATGAAGGGGCCTGCCACCCAGTTATCCCATGTCCTGTGCAAATGTCTGAGACACTCAATTATTGAGGCTTAAACATGGGAAGGTTCACCTGTTCTGGAGTTTAGCACACCCATTACCCATGGATGCTGGCATGCCTTGTGTGGCAGAGCACTTGCAGTGCCTGCCACTTTAAGGTCTGGGTCAGGCATCCAGCAGGTGCCTGATGGTGGCAGCCATTTTGAGAACCTAGTATATAAAGGCTGCAGTCTGCTGCTGCCAGCTGAGGTAGAAGTATGGTTTGGTTGAGCTGTAGCAGGAACATTTAAATGGCAAGGGCAAGGGCAAGGGCAAGGGCAAGGGCAAGGGCAAGGGCAAGGGCAAGGGCAAGGGCAAGGGCAAGGGCAAGGGCAAGGGCAAGGGCAAGGGCAAGGGCAAGGGCAAGGGCAAGGGCTTATGGGGCTGGATAGGAAGTTGTTGGTCTTGGGTATAACCTAAAACTGCACCCTGTTGGGGATGGGTGGCCTGGTAGGGTTCCTGGTGGTGGAGCCACCAGGAAATGCCAGGCCAGTTACCACCTGGTGAAAGGTGGGCTGGTGTGCCTTAACCCCTAGTCCCCACAACACTGGGTACAAGGGGCCAGGCATGGCTATGGCCATCTGAGCCTGCAGAGAGTGTAAGATCCAGGTGGGGCCAGGTATGGCTGTGGCTGCCTGAGCCTCCACAGGGGAGGGAAACCCTGGAGCCCTGAAGGAGGATGTAGATGTGTAACCCAACCCCAGAGAAGAGGTGGTAGTTGGGGCCTGGGAATAGGTTGAGTAGGGCTGAGGGCCAGTCTGAAGGGCAGCCTAGAGGGGGTGTGCTGAGTAGGGCTATGGGACAGCCTGTAGGGTAGCATATGGTCCAACCCCCTGGAGAGCAAGGTGAGAGAAGTGTGGAGCCCTAGAAAGAGGAAACGGATGGCTGGGAGCCCAGCATGTGTTTATGTAAAGCTGCCCTGGGAGGGACCAGGGCAAGCTCCCCCCAGGTCAGGAAACTGGCTGGCCACTACCCAGGTGAGGGTCACAGGAAAGGCCCAAGAGACTGTACGTCTGCCACCCAAGGCATGATCAGAATAAAGCCTATTGCCTACAGGAGATGCTCCAAGAGGAAGCAGGGTGAAACAAGTTGTTGATGTGAGAGAGAGACCCTGTGAGAGGGGATGGAGTGCGAGAAGCCCTAGTGAGAGGAGGGCAGAGTGAATGTGTGAGAGAGGCCTGACAGGGAGGGCTAAGCTTGGCCTGGCTCTAGGCTGGGAGCATAATGACACCATGGATGCTATCTATGAGGTATGGGCTGTGGTGTAGGGTAGGTTGAGCTGCAGATAGCACCCCCTGGCATCAGGGTATGTAATGGGCAGTCTACCACATTTTGTCACCTGGGTTGAGAACAGGAAAGTCGTGGCCAGTGAGATTGGGTGGACTGCCCTGTAGACTGCTAGGCAGGCTAGCATGACACCCGGCCCTGAGAGCTGCCCCGTCACACCTTGGATGCAGGTATGCATCCAAAATTGTTGCACATATGTAGTTGTATACTTAACTGGTCAGTATATAGACTAAGTATTTTCAGTCTACATGTACGCTCTTACATGTTGGGACTGCAGGGCATGTGTGTAAATGCCAAAGAAGCCACTTACATGGCTAGAAAGGTGTTATTTAGGTGCACAAAGGTAAGAGAATCCTACCCTTCACTTGTATCCAGACTCTATATCACAGATTTCTCCTTTACTGGGGAGCCAACCTTTTTGTCACGGAGCATTTTCTACTGCTACATAACAAAGCAACCATACAAAACTACTGTACAGAATGTCTGGTTCTGGATTGGTAACTTTATTTCTTTGCTGGAAAAAATACATGTGCTGAGATTTCTCTTTTCTCTGTTTATTTTGTAATACAGTGAGGCTAGTTTGGAACTTGGGAACAAAAATTCTGATTCCACTAGGAGCTCCTGTGCCTTGTAGTGTTCAAGCATTCTATTGGGTTTCTGAAAGTATTTTATTTTAGGAGAACTAGTTGGGGCACTTCTGATGCAGCCATTTCTTATGTGACTAGAAAATGGTACAGAACTGGGAAACTATTTTTCACAAGACAAGATTCTGCTATTTCCCATCTTACACAATTCCAGCAAACTTATTGGCAAGAGTTTTCATTAGCACTTGCTCTTCACTTCATTAACAGCAGCAGTAACCACAGTGTAGTGACACCTTTTCTGTCTCCAGTTACACCTTAATTGCTGTTTGAGTTGCATAGCATCTAGGTTACATGGCTTCCCTAGTTTCTCATCAGGATGGCAGGCTATCTGATATATTGGGAAGTGAAGTAGCAAGACAGTGGCAGAAAAAATTAGTATGTTCCTTTGTAAGGAGCTGAGGCTACCTCCATCATTTGGAGAATGCACAACCAGGTATGTAATACGTTCTAGACTACTCCCATCAAATGCGCACATACATCCTGGTCAGTATTTATGGTTTTGCCAGCATTTGCAGTAGAACAAATCCTGTCTTGGTATAAATGCAGTGCTCTTGCTGACATCTGTAGGAGCTGCACAGAGCAATCTGGTTCATTGTTTTCTCCTTTGGAGGAAATGAACACAAACAGGAAAATGCACAGTATTTTTGCTATTTGATCTTTTTTATTGTTACATTTATATTTAATTTGTTATTGCCTTATGACTCCTACATCATGACTGCCTGTCAATCTAAGTCTAATCTAACATTAATGTATATCTGTAATGTAAATACATAGTTACTATGCTGAATTTTGTTCTATAATCTCAGTATAAATCTAGAGAGAACCAATTCAACAAGCAGAAGTTGGCCCACTTTTTCCATTCCCCTTTTTTTTATCCCCCAAAAGAAATGAAAAGATCTACTGCAAACTGTTGTCATAAGCATGTTTCTAAATGATACTCAATACTTGGCAATTAAGTGTATATGTACATCTGATTCGCATGAATAAACATAATGGTGTATGAATATGAAGGATTACAAAAAGTAAATGAGGTTGGGCCTTGAACCATTTTTCTTATGGGAAAACCAGTGCAGAGATGGTTTCAAGTATATATTATTTTGAAATAAACAGCCTCATTTCATTGCCTGAATTATCTCAGGCAAAGCAAATTCTTTATATGCACCCAAAAGAGCTATAAAACAACTATTTTTTTTTTAACTATGCAAATTTGCTAGACTGTGTTAAGAAATTCTGCCTTTTGGCTTATTTAAGTAGCAGTAACAACTTGGCAGCAGCTTTTGGACTTAATTTTGTCCTGATCTTATTATTGACTAAATATTAGGCACTTTCATTCATAAGTATGTCCAGCATTTTACTTCCTTCAAATTGCTTTTGCCTGCAGATAAGACCTTGCTTTATATCTATACAGTCTCATTCAGGGTAACTGGATGATATAGGAAAGCCGTATCAGTATATCACTTGCTGGTTGGATGATGGAATCTGTGACGGTGTGAGATGAAGCTCTCCATCTTTTCAGCCTTTTCCATCTTGACAGTCAGGCGAACAAGATCACTTGGCACTTGTTCAAACAGTTATATTTTTATATTAAATATTATGTTTAAGATTAGAGTCAGAAAGGATAGTTGCTGATTGATATCGAAGTGTAATTACATGTCTAAATTGTTCATAGTTTCAAATAAAGATCCAGAGGATCAGAAACAACTCTAGAATTAGAATGAAATAAGATGTATAACCATGATCACATAGATGGATAGACACATTTGTATATAGGTCCTTAGCCTGCCCTATTGGCTTATAAAGGTGCATATGTATTTTATAATACAGTAATTTTGTCTCTTCTACCTTAAGAAAACATGTTTTCTAGTGGTTACACAGGCTGTCACTGTTTGAATAAACTGATTCATTTACCACAAAAGATAAAAACTGTCTCTAGCTAATCTATTATCAGAGTTGAAACTGTATATTAGGCTTGTCAGTGCAGCTGGGATGCTCTTTATTTGGTGAGCTGGTACAATTTAAAATGCCAGAATGTGGCAGTTGTTAGGCTTCAGAGATGGGCATCATTAAGTAATCCTCATGAAATGTGAACGTTCTTCGAAATAAAGGACTGTGTTGCAATTAGCTGAGGCATTAGAGGTGCTCCCAGAAGCAGCATACCTGGGATTTTATGATTTAATTGTTGTACTGCTTTTCTCCTTTACTGAACTCCTTTGAATATGGCACATCTCATTCTTGCATTCTCTGTTTAAGTATCATTGTCTGAACAGTCATGAAAAGCTGTAGATGGTAATGTTGCTCAGCAAGAGATGACCAGTGGGTTAGACAGAGACTGGTGACTCTGGGCCTTCTCGAGAGACTGGCTTTGTAAGAGTTCGCATGACGCCAACTCCTGGTAGAGAGTATCTAGGACCTCAAAAATATGGGCTTTTCCTTTAAAAGAAATTTACAAAACATATTAGCATATTGCCAAAGTTGGGAAGAGGCAGTTGAACAATTACAAACTACTTCTCATTTACAGAGATGGCCTTTCAAACAATAAGCGTAGAATTTCCAAATATTGAGAACAAATAATGAATTCTCCCACACACCACAGTTACACAGAGAGGAACTATATGCACAAATTGATCCCCCTGCATGCTTCCTACTCGAAACTCCCTCCTCACTAGTCCCCAACCTCCTTGTTTGAACAAAGACAGATATTAAATGTATTGGCGTCTGAGATGTACACTGCCCTATATCAGGTAAACTTCCTGAAACTGAGATGGGTATAGCCTGCTGACTAAATGCCTTCTCATCATTCAAGTCAAGACTAGACACAAGTCACAGCAGTCTGGAAGAAACTACTCCAATCAGCTATTGGCGTAGTTCTCACTTCTCAAACAGTGAGAAAATGATCGACTACAAAGCTGCTTCATGTCACATCTGGTACAAAGCCAGTCCAGAGCAGAGGAAATCTAGGTACACCCTGGGGAATTATTCAAATATGCACCCACCTGACTTTGCACATAAAGTATGACCATGCATAATTCCATAATTTTGCATACTTTAACCTAGGCAGGCTCTCTGCCTCCACAATCAGGGGGCTCTGGCTGCCGCAGCCATTAGCAGGCTCTCTGCCTCCACAATCAGGGGGCTCTGGCTGCCAAAGCCATTAGCACCCCAAGGGCCTGCCATCTGCTGCTGCCAGCGACGCTGATACACGTGACACAGAAGGCTGCCAGAGTGCGTCACTTTCTGTGCTCCAGCAGACTTGATTAATTGAGCCTGCTCTGACGCGCTGGATTTCCAGTGTGTCAGAGCAGGCTCTGTGCACATGTGCCAGAGCCTTTTGTTTCCATGTGTGGTCAGTACAATATCCTACCGGAGTGCAGAGCTGCCAGAACACTTCCTTTGCACCCACAGTAGCTGTTGGTGCACCTGTGGGTACAATCTGCCATGTCTTTGTTCCTTGGGCCAGCAGCTCAGACCTGGCTGCCTTTGGTGCTTGCAGGTGCGCTGGGACAGGCTTACCACTTGCCATACCTACTCCTTCCCTGTCCCCAGTGCAGCCATGTTGTTCAAGAATGTCTTGCCTGTGAATCTGTGTGTAGTAGTAACAAATAGGTTAAATGGTAAGAAGGCTCTGTGCAAGTCAAAACGCTCTGTACACATTTCTCTCCCTGAATTACTGTTATTAATATTCCATGGACCAAACCCCTGGGTCACATCTAACCTTTAATTATCTCTTCTTTGATGCCTCTCTGCCTATTAAGAGTCCCTGCAGGCAGTCTTCCTAGGCAAACTGGCTTGGTACACCATGTTAGCTTCCTTGAATAATAGAAATATTATAATATTCTCTGCTAATAGAAACAAAGTAATCAAATCCAAACCTCCAGGCTGTAAATGCAGCACAGTTTCTGCCACAGCAACTTCTGCACAGTAGGCCATTGTCAGGGGAGAGGACTTTCCAAGTTTAATTTTCATATCAAGAACATGAAAGGTTATTAATAGAAGGGAACAAGGTTGACCCACTTACTTTACTAAAGGATGCTGCATCCTTTAAGTCAAAGGTGAAAAGAGCTGTAGACAATGGAATTGTAAATGGTGAGAGTGGCTCTCTCATACACTCTGGGACACATTCTGTCCTCCGGACCTGTGCAACCCTCTGACACTGCAGGCAAAATTTGGGACCAGGACTCATTATTGCTGTTGGACATGCGCAAATGACTTCTGTTGATTGCAGCTAGTTACACAATTCATGTGAACACTAAAATTTGGCTGTGATTCCCTGCATGTTTTGCAGTTTCAATGACTAGAAGGATTTAGCTTTAAGAGACCTGCATGGTCATTGATTTCCCCATCCGACAGGGGAAGTTTTGAATTTCTTGTTGCTATACATGTCATCTACCTCCTAAAAGTCATTCACCAAGAAACTAAGACCTTGCTTCAGACCCAGGTGCTAACTGTGCCCTCTCAGCAACATGGACCACATCACAAACTAAGTAATATGGATTATAACATCCAAAGCTCATTCATCAGCTCGTCTACCAACCTCATATATGCCATCACTTACTTAAAGTGCCCTTCTGCTACCTGCATTGGATAGACAGGGTGATCCCTACATAAGAATGAATGACCATAGATCTGATCAATTCCAGAAAAACAAAATTCCTGTAGCAGAACACTTTAAACTCCATGGACATTACCCTCACTGACCTCAGTGCCAGTTCGTAGATGACAACACTTGAAAAACAAACTTGAACAGGAAATTGCAGAACAAGAAATCATCCACAGACTGGACTGTATTAATTATGGTCAAACCAGGGGTGGGCAATTATTTTGGGTGGAGGGCCGCTTACCGAATGTTTTTTGGCAAGCTGTCAAGGGCCACATGGATAATCCTGCCTCTTGATGGGTGCCCTGCCCACTGGTCATCATCTTGTGACCAAAAGTTCTGACCCCTAACCCGTGACCTTTGTGACCAGAAGTCCCTCCCCTTGCCCCCACAAGTATTCCTTTCAGCAAGGGGTTTTGCCATCTCAGAACCAGAAAAATACCAAATTATAGTCTAAAAAGCTAACATCTACAGCATTCATTAATTTGATTTATTTCAAAAAATATTTTTGTCCTGATTTACATGTTTGTGTATTGTACATAGAGGTGATTGCACAACAGCTTAAAATTAAGCCTTACTCTTGTATGTTGTGGAGGGTTGTGTGTGTGGACATGTGGGGTGTGGGTGGGTATGGGGTGTGTAGGGAGGGTGGCTGGGGTTTGCGTATGGCAGTGTGAGGGGGGCTTGCGCATATGTATGGTGGAGTGTGTGTGTGGGACTCGCCCTATGAACGAACACCGCCGCGCCACCAGGGCCCGCCCCTCCCCCCGTATCAGTGTGGTCCCGTGCTTTGCAGTCTGGTGATGCAGCTGGGAGCCACATGGTGCTGGAGCAGGGCAAGGGCAGGAAAGCAGGGAACGGGCTGGGGGTGGAGTGGGGCTGGGCTGCGCAAGGGCTCCCTCTGGTTCCTACTGCCCCTGGCTCCTGTCAGTTTTGACAGGCTGCCAGGAGTGAATAAATATTCATTTACTAAATTTTTAGAGGCCCTGCAGGCCGGATAGAATGGCTTGGTGGACTGGATCTGGCCCACGGGCCACATTTTGCCCGCCCCTTATCTAAACCAAGACTACTGGTTCTTATCACATTACCTGCCTTGGCTTTTATAAGCCTGATGTCCCTCAATGAGTTGACTACTTTGTTTTTTCTTTCTCCTCCCCACCTTGCCTATCCCTAGTGTCCCCTTCTTTTTCTTCCACCCCCACCCTTTTGTATTCTAATCACTACTTTCTATTTAGAAGCTGTGTTTCCTTCAGTCCCTTCATAGTCTCTGATAAAGTATGCCCACTGCTCATGACAGCTTATGCTAATCACATCAGATTTAGTTAATCGTGAAGTACAAATCTACCCTGCCTTCTGCCTGATTTCAGACTAACTTCTATGCTTATAGACACTGTCCACTACTTGTTCCTAAAATATGATTTACTTTCTTACCATGTTGGTTGTCCTGGCAGGATTCCAAAGTGCTCAGCAAGATTTTTCCCAAGGCTCGCTTAGATATGTTCTTTAAAACACAAAATAACAATTATCTCTTTCATGAGGTTAAATATACCCAGCTATATCTGAAAATATGGAAAGTGTGTTGGCATTGAAAATGAAAAACAAAATGAAATTCAGTCCAACAACATTAACTTATTTTTGGCATATTTGCAAACCAGCAGCTGCAGATAGATACTGCACAGCCAAAAGCAGATTTTAGGATGCCAGATCCTTAGTTTGGCTTTACTAAGGGAATCTGTAATATATTCTTTATTTCCTGTAGAGAACTATAGCAAAGCTTTCAAAAGCTTGTGCCCACATAAATCTAGATGTTTATTCACTTCATGGACTGCAAGCAGGAGATGAGCAAGCTGAAAACAATTAAAAGCCTGGCTGAGATAATGCAGAACCTGTGTATTTTGAAAGGTGAGTGATATAACTCACTTCCCACTAATATTTAAAATCATGGTGCCATTTTTAATGCATACAAGGCAGAAGTGGTTATTACATGTCTCATTCCAGAGACCCAGCTGGAGAAGTTCTTTTTCAGCCTCCATTGGCTGTTGCTTATGGAAAAGTATTAAACATTAGCCTGACTGATAGTACCTTAGGGTCTTAGAACTAGTAGATGGTTGCCTTTCCATAGTAATAGATCCATTGTAGAAACCTGTTGGGCTGCTACATGCTTAAGAAGCACAACTCTCTTAAGTTGGTTATGTAGATGCTGATGCATGCTTTGGCAGTCCTCCTGTTATATTTAATTGGCCATCTCAGCCCTCTCACCTGGGGTGGGGTGAATTGTTTTTGTTAAACTCCAAGAAATGGAAATAGGCAGCAAGAGCACTCCTGAAGAAAGATTACGCAGCAGTAACTCCAGTTGAAATGTTATTGCCTCTGCTTATTCACAATACCTATCCACCTTGCCCTCTTGAAGTCTTACTTGTCTAGCACTCTTGGATTTAGTAGGAGGCGGCACTCGTAGAATCATAGAATCAAAGAAAATGAGGGTTGGAAGGGACCTCAGGAGGTCAGCTAGTCCAATCCCCTGTTCAAAGCAGGACCACCCCCAACTAGATCATCCCAGCCAAGGCTTTGTCTAGCCAGGTCTTAAAAACCTCCAAGGATGGAGAGTCTACAACCCCCCTGGGTAACCTGTTCCAGTGTCTTATACCCTCCTAGTGAAAAAAACCTTGGAATATCTAACCTAAACTTCCCTTGCTGCAACTTGAGACCTTTGCTCCTTGTTCTGCCACCACTGAGAACAGTCTAGCTCCATCCTCTTTTGAACCCTCCTTCAGGTAGTTGAATAGAGGGGAATCATCACTTCCCTTGCCATGCTGGCAACATTTCTACCAATACAGCCCAGTATGCTGTTAGCCTTCTTAGCAACAAGGGCACAATGTTGGCTGACATTCAATGTATTGTCCACTGTCCCCCCCACCCCCC